AATTAACACTGCATCGTATCGTTATTTTACCCACCATGTCATTAAGCAGATGAATAGAAAGCTCACTGTTGAATGGAGGTTTTATTAAAAGAAAAATTTATGAAAAAATACAAAGGATATCTCCTACTAAATCTTTTCCATCGCTTTATAATGTATAGAATGTCTTGAATCTAAATGCAGATGCTGTAGGGAGTAGTTCTTTCGGCTAAAATAATAATCTTTCGTTGTTTCCAACATTCTCCTCGTGGAGCTATTAAATGGTAGGCTGACGCCCATAAATAAGTATCAAAGAGAAATAATGACAAAAACCTTTTTCATTATTTGAAATTGTGTACCAAAGTACATGAAATTTGGTTTGCGAGTGTACCTCAATGCGACCTATCCACATCTGGACATAAAAAAGCGCAAAATACATAGGATACGAGTTTGTGATTTTTCAAATTTTGAAACTTACAGAGCTACTTTTTTATTTTTTTTTTCTTTGAAACAAAAAGTGAAATATTTTAATCACCACAGGAAGTGTGGGCATATTTGAGGCCATAAATGAATTGAGCGCATAAAAATACGTCTTTAAACCAAAGTCCAAGAAATACAGTCAGTCCTTTTAGCTGCAATTTGGACATGACATTTTTCTTTCTGTTTTACCAAATTCCACAAAAATTGGTGTACTAATAATTTTGCCTCTGTGGACTAAGGTCTCCTCAGGATTGCACAGGTGAAATGAAAATTTTCGTGAAATATTTCATGAAATCTCCCAAAGTTATGACAAATATGAAACATATTTTCAGGGGCTGGGTATGCAATACGCACTAAAAAACACCAAAAATATAAAACCCAGTCGCCTTTCATATAATTTTGCATTTAATTTCGAAAAATATTTTTCTGAAATTTCACGAAATATTTCACATGAAATTTCAAGATTTATGTATTTTTCATGAAAAATTGCAACCCTGGATCCCTCCCCTACAATATTGGCACATATGAGGTATATAATGGAACCTGGTTCCAATTTAATTCTTATAATGAAAATATGCCATCCACAATATTTACGAGCCCCTTTCATTGTGGGAAATGTCACTCGGGAGTGCGGGTTGCGCGTGACGAAATGAAGGCGCTTTCCGCTCCGATGTAAAACAACAAAGAAAGCGAGGGAAGAGGGCAAGCGGCAGGATGCAGCGATGATATTGATATTAGACGTTTATGAGGGACGCAGTGAAAAATCATCGTAAAGCATGAACAGCACGATTACGCTCAAGGAAGCTCGCTGTTTACCGGAGTAAAAAGAAAAGTTGCTCGAACTTTAATTCGTCCCCTCGGAAACTTCCGACGAAAGCTCCCGATACCCGATACGCGTCGCCAATCGTCGCGGGAGAGCAAGAAGAATAAAATCACAAGGCGAGAGGGGAGTTCCAGGCGATTGTTTTTCTTTCATTTTTTTTTATTTAAATGTAAATATTTCCCACGAATTGATTTATCATGTAATGGAGGAAACTTTTAATGAATTACAAGACGCTCCGAATATCTCACGCGCTTATTTTCTTGACAAACAGTGAGTTTGATTGTGTTTGTCGTCCTGGCGGGGTTGAGGTACTCAAGATTGTAATTTTCCGACCTCTTAGGCATTGATATCGCTGGGTAAAACGTGTTCGATACGATTAATTCGCACGGGGAGACTGAGGTGTCCTTGAACTCTTTAAAAGCGTTTTGTTGTAAGACCCCTCTTACTCTGGACCGAGTTTTTGGAACTTTTCGTCAGAAATTGATTCTCTCCTCACTTTAGCTTTGGAAAGCAAGGATGAAAGTTCATGTAGGAGAAAGTTTTGGTACTCAAAACGTTGCGTAACGAAGAATTTTTCGCATGGTTGAATGAAGCACGTTAAGAGATCCTTTTTGTCCTTATGAATATTTTTCAAAGAAGCTGTATACCCTCTTCTGGTTTTTCCCCACAATTGACCCCGATGAGAATTGGGAAACCACCGATTTACATTTTTTTTGATAGCCTGCACAGTGATGAATTGATGCAATTTTAATTTGATTATACATTATTGTGTTCACAATATCATAATAGTAAATATAATTAAATATATGCATACAAATAATTAATCGAGTTAAGAGAGAAACCGAACACGCAATTTGGCCCGGAACGGCGCGACTTAGAGAGAAATGATAACGAGGACTTGAGATGAAAAGGAGAAGCCGTTGCTGCGGCGATCGGCATGTAACACATATTAGCGCCTACAAGACTGCACGAATACTTCACGCATTGCATCAAACACAATGCGGTCATTGCGGACAGTGTGAAACGGATAGCGCCTACAAGAATGCATGAATACCTCACGCATTGCGGCAAACACAGTGCGATCAGCTTGAAACGGATAGCGCCTACAAGACTGCGTGAATACTTCACGCATTGCGTCAAACACAGTGCGGTCTGCGAGGCGCGGCGGCGGAAGTTAAAATCATTAATCCACATTTATGTTTGTTCTCTCATAATTTTTTCGTTCATTTCTTATGAATGGAAGGCCTTGTCCACACAGAGATAGGTTTACGAAACTTAACTTTCGCGCAAAGTTCCGTGACTTTTTCTAGTGGTGTTGATAGGGCTTTCCTAAAAAATGTGTTTAACACGAGTAAACGCGTCTTATGAACCCCTCCCCCGCTGGCACGCTCATTTGATGGTTTGTATCGATGTTTCAAAACGAATGAGAAGGAGGCGGCAAAATACAGGCGGCCTATGGGCGGCAAGTAGGTAAATCCGGCCCTGACCGCGAAAAGAATTATAGGTTTTGGATGACAAATTTACGCTGATTTAAATTCGGTTATCAAATTAGCGAAAACCACACTATTTTCAGAGAAATACATCTGAGAAAAGTGCATATTCTCCGTAATTTGCATGGAAAGTATGAAAAATGATATGATAGGCTGACCTTTCAAGGTGATATGTAGCTTTTTACAATCTTGTTTTTGAGCTGTTAAGCCGTTGAATCGCTGCAGTGCTTGCATTCTAGTATCCCGGGGGGGGGGGGAGGGGGGGTTGAAAGCAAAAAGCGCAAACTTTAAGATATGAGCGCTCAATAAATTACACCTCATATAAAGGTAGGTTTATGAAATTCATCATGCCAAGTGCTCCAGAGAGGGGGTGTATTTTTCTTTTTTTTCATCAGAAACCCCGGACGCGCACGGTGTCTGGAGGGAATCAATTTGTAAAACCCACCACCAAATACCCTATCCTACAAGCCGCCGCGAAGAATGAAGAACTACGTCAAATAATTGAGCTATCGCACAGAAAAAAAGGAATTCAATCCTTTGAGGGCTCGAGCGATTCCCTCTCAAATGAGTTTTCCTCCTCTGATAGAATCCACAAAACCTCATTTTTAAAGCCTGCACGCTGTAGAGCGGAGAGAACTCTTTTGTTATAAAAAACCCGACAGTGTGCTTAGGAGATCCATCGATTCCTCCCGCATATAATCGGGAAGGCATCGGATGAGGCAAATCTTTTGAAATTAATTTTTCCGTGATTTGAGTGTCACGAATTGCAACTGTCAAGTGTGACCTCGTCCTACGGCCGGACCTGTTGCTCGACAAGCTTTGAGAGGAAAGCTCAATGTTGGTTACGGAGGGGAGGCTACGCAGCTCTGCCGTGCTGAGGAAAAACGCCGTATGAACATTCGAGAGTTGTCAAATTTCCTTCGATAAAATGTTTATTTTAGAGAAAAGTTATGGATATTTTTCCTTAACATTTTCAGAATCTTTAGGTGAGATATGTGAACAAAATTATCTAAAAAATTGGGAAGAAAACGTTAATAAGTTCGTAGAAAATTCGCGTTTTATGAATGGAAATTTAGCAACGCCCGAAGGTTTATACGGCGTTTTTCCTTAGCAGGGCAGAGCTCCCCTTTATACGTCCAGATCCAGGGGTGTATATGACTCGTGCTAATCCGCTGATAACTGACAAGCGCGGTAATTTTATTTGCGTGAGGATAAGCGGTTGGGGGCGGGTTCCGCGGTGCAAGTTTCCTTCGGACTAAAGTTTTTTTCTCCCTTTTATTTTATTGATTTATTTCCTTATTTTCTATTATTTTACTTGTTGCTCCTTTCTCCCTTTTCTCTGAATTTTCTAGGTATTTTTTCACTTGACTCGTAACTCTAAGGCTCATTTTCCTGCACAAAACACCCGGACCTGTAAATGAAATTTTACCAACCAAAAAACTGCGCGAGAAAGAAGTTGAAATAAATCATGTAGAAACTTAAAGGATGACACATTTTTTATTCAATTTTTCTGGTATGCTACGAGGAAAAGAGGTTTAATTTCTCATTTTTAGGGGACCTCTGAACGAAGCGGGGGTGAAGGCAACCTGTGGCACGTTCTTGCATCTCAAATGCATTCCATTTTCCATTCTCATTTGCATTTTCAAATCAGCTGATAAGGAGGACATAAACAAATCAATGGGTCCACTTTTGCCGGTCGCAAAATGAGTAAATCTACTTAATACCACTGGTGGTTGATTTCCGTCTATGTGTCCAAAATTAAGATTCAAAACAAGAGTAAGTAGGGTTCGGCCTCTTATTTTAAAAAAAAAAAAATATATTTCTTTGCCCCCGATACAAGATATGCTGTTCTCGCACTTTTTCAGAAACAAGTGATGAGTGCATTTACAAAACCTTATCATAGTAAAACACTTTAAGCACGGCGTATTACTTTTCCTAATTACATTTTAATTTTTGGTGACCGCAGATTCAAAATACTGCGCACGAAAAAAATCAATTCTGTAGCGAGAAGCTGGTTCTAAAAATTCTAAAAATGTCTACAGCTTTAAATATTTTTTTTCTCTTAAATGTGTTTGGGCGATGAATTGTTTATAACCTTGATCATTTTTCAATTATAAAATCTAAGTGAGATTGGAAACAATTACGGTAACATTTCTGACTTTTTTTAATACAGATTTTCCAAGTGTTTATGCTTCTAAAACAAATCGTAAATATAGCGAATTGATTTGCAGATTTTGATTCGAAGTTGCGATTTGGCGGAGAAATTGCTGGCGGGTCACATCTTGACATTTGAGTGGAGCGACTCGGATAAAGTCCACAAAGTGATCAATAGAGGAGCCTACTAAGTGCGGCGTGGTCAAGATTGTCCAAAAGGTGAGCTAACTTTTCACTCATATTAAAACTAACTTTCCCTCCACCAATGTACTGTTCCATCTGTGTTAGATGTGGGGTGTCCCGAGAGACAGATGGAATATTTATGTGGCAAGTTCTAAAAAGCAGACTGCGGTATTTATACTTTTCGAATGAGTGAAACGTACCCGTTCACGATTATATTCAATAATAAAATAAATTTCAAATCGGGTGTATGGCTCACGTATCGCAGTTGATGAAGCATTATGCAGCAATTTTTCCGTCTGCGGGCCGATTATTGAAATTGGTAGACAAAGCTATAAACAAAGAAGACATAGGAAGTATAGAGCGATCCTATTGGGTGAAATGGGTGGTTCCTGGAGAAGATGATGGACTAAGTATAGGGTCTCTCGTGAGCTGCCTTTTTTTAGTCTATTTCTTACCTCATTTGTTCATTGCAACCACCCGCTTTGACTAATAGGATCCCTCCAAATCGCTCTTGTTTTCTTTGTCTATAGCTTTGTCTATCAATTTCAATAATCGACCTGCCGAAGAAGTTGATTTTCTCAAGAAATGGGACTTCGAGGGAGCGTCTTCGCAACAAAAATTTCTCCGTGATATTTAGATGTATTTGTAAAATCGAAAGACACTCTTTAACAGGAACAACCTTAAGGGCGGGCCTACTTCTCCCAAAGTTTCCCTCGAAATGAGTGGTTGCAGATGTTTGTATTACTTTTCTTCAGACAGATTGTGATCGTATAAAAGTTCAGACGTATTACCTTCATATTCTTATTATCTACCTGTAAATAAAGATTATCGCAATAACATTAGACTATTTTGCAATATCGAGAACATGGTTTAATAGCACACAGCCTAGCAACGTATCTGTGCAGTTGTTTTTAATCGTTCAAATAATCGGCAATGGAGATGTTGCATGTGTGAGGAATTTGCGATTTGACCATTGATTCTTATGTAAAAGTTTGCGAGAAACACGACGGTGTCACTGGTTTTCTCTGAAATCAACTCCCAAACTCAAAAAAAGCTCTCAAGTTGAGGCCAAAATGGAGGGGATATCCCACACTATCCTGAGAGTCCACCTCTACATCAAGACAAACTCTCCATGCGAAGATAGGGAGCAAATACATTAGCTGGGTTGCCGTGTTTTCAGTTTTAGAAATAAAGTGAATAAAGTGACAGCCCTGTCAATGTATTTGCTCCCTATCTTTGCATGGAGAGTTTGTCTTGAAGTAGACGTGGACTCTCAGAATAGCGGGAGATATTCCCTCCATTTTGATCTCAACTTGAGAGCTTTTTTTGAGCTTGGGAGTTGATTTCAGAGAAATCAGAGGCACCATCTTGTTTCTCGCAAACTTTTACATAAGAATCAATGGTCAAATCACAAATTCCTCACACATGCAAAATCTTCATTGCGGATATTTGAACGATTAAAAATAACTGCACAGATACGATACGTCGCTAGGCTATGTGCTGTTAAACCATGTTCTCGATATTGAGGCTCGGGAAGAAAAACTCGGAAAACCAAAAGTCTGACGAACATGTCGGGGTGAAAGGTGGAGAAAAATTGGAGGAAATGGAAGTGCGGCAAGTGATAAATCGAGAGAAATCAGCGCAGCGTGGGCGTGGCGGCGCGCAGCAATTTCCTTCAATTGAGCGAGTAGGCAATTTGAGCTCCGGGGTGTTGAAATAGTGGTATCATATTTAAAGCTTACCGCTCACGACTTTCCCCATTTGAAATAATAATACGTGCACGACGTATCTGGGTGTTCTCCTCGAAGTCAACCGAATACAATACATTTCAAAAATAAATTTTGGTATAAAAAAAGTAAAAGGAAGGATTGGACGCGACTTTCACTTTTCTCCCTCGAAAAAAATTTAGACACTTCACCGGATTTACATTGACGAATTTCGGATACCACTTATTACTAGGGTTATAAATCCCTTACACTTCTTAAACATAAAAAGTTAAAATCTTCGTATCGTTAATATTGCTGAGACCGGCTGATAAAACGAAGCAGCGAAAAAAATACTTATGTTAATCAGTTTCTCCCTTATTGCCAAATGCGGATATTTATATGAGATAATATAGTAGAGTTCAAGTTTCTGAGTTTTTTTCTCCATTTTTCTTGCGGTGTCAAGGTGTAACGTTGGCGTTAACGCGTTTAGAGCTACCATATTTGATTTAATCCATCGATTTCAGACGTCTCTGAACAGATAACAATTCTATTATTATCTAATAATATCTATCTATCTTTAAACCTTTGAAATAATATACCGTATAGAATATCGATGGCCAAAATCGAAAAATCTCCGCTCGTATTCTATTATTTGAAAGTATGCGTAACTTATCAACAGTTCGTTCAGAAAAACAAAACAGACTCAGAGATTTCGAAACATCGCAATTGCGATACGCGTTTCCCAACTTTGGGTATTGATATGATTGTCTCGAGATATTTTCAACTCAATCAATCCGCAATTAAATTAAATCGGACGTTTCCACGAATTTTCCCTTCATCGATAGATTTCAACGACGCATGGACCGCCGATAATCCGAGAACATCGTCGAAATCTTACGATTTTCAGCGGAGCGGTCGGCGAAGACTCTGCGATCTAGCAACGCTAAGGCCTCACAAACACGGATCAAATTTAGGGGGTCGACCGGACTATATATTCATTCTTAAGCTCCGGTAATCCGTTCAAGGCACGGGGTAAATCCTTCCCCGGAGCCCAGAGGGGAGAAAAGGGATTCGCGGCGAGGGGGAGGGGGGAGGGACTTATTTTTCAACCGGATGTATGACAAGTGGGGCGCGGCGTTCGGTTCAGGGGGTTGTTCGGGGGTTTAATCAGGTGCATTTAAATACGGATAACACTTACGGGCACGGATGCTCGATCTCAAATCTGCAGGTTTTCAGAACCGCGTATTGACGTTGAGTTTCGATTGGAGTTAGGTGGTTTTTGCTCGGAATCTCTGTCGATCCCGGTCTTACGAGGTGTTTACGAGGCGAGATTCGGAGGAGCGATGTGCGGCTTGTTATGCGGGTTGCTTGTCACCCGTCTGCGCTTTGAATTATTGGATATTCCATGAATACGAGAGGGTTAATCACCAGTTTGCCTTTACAGATTTTTTGTATTCCTCTTAAATATTCGACGGTTCGTGGGGAAAGGGACCTCGGTTCACAAAAACTCAAAATTCCTCGTTTTCCAGACGAAGGAATGTAACTCCTCCAAGGTTGCAAAATTGTCTCGATGAACTACATTTTTTATAGATGTAATACAATGATATTTTTCCCCTGACTTTTCCGCAAAGTCAGATGGAAAAACAGTGATATGTTCAGTCAAAAATGCCTTACAGTCTCCTGGTAAAAATGTATGTGTGAGAGAAAATTTTGCAACATTAAATCGTAGTTACGCTCTTTCGCCTGGAAACGATGAATTGAGTAACTGATGCCAGAGCGAAAGAGAGTTAAGTATACAACAGAAAATGTGGTGATAAAAATTTGGAGTAACAATATAGAATAAACATTGTTTACAATTATAAGTGTATTGCGAATATTTTGAGACCAGAAAAAAAACCAAAATCTGTCAAACTTAACGGGAGTTATGGCGGATTCAAGTTCGTAATTAAAGAGATGTCATCTCGAAGAAAAGGTGTTTAATTTTCAGTATGTTATTATGCGTAATTGCCGGATGAAAATGAAACCATGCGTTCCTGATTAATAAGGGAATGAACTTGAAATCCTTGGATGTCCAAGACTTTTTTAAACGCAAAAACCCAAGTCGGGTCAAATTGACTCGTCTTTAAAAACATTGATTTTGATGGTTTTCGAAGTATTATTTATGTAATTTATGTCTTTTTGAAAGTAAGAAAGAGGGTAAATCTGACCCAACTTGGGGTTTCTATTTAAATGATCATCAAAACAACTTCCCGACACGATACGACTTTCGTTTAAATATCAGTTTTTAGGCATGAGCCCTCGAAGGTGCTCCAGAACAGACCTCACGTGGCTACATGATTTACGTTTTTTCTTTTCTTTTTCAAAATTAATTAATTTCAAAATTGAATTAATTTTGACACATCATAGCATATTTTGAGCAAAATTAACTTCACCTTTCCTCAAATTTAAAAAAAAATAAGAGACACTTGACAAAAAGCACGATGGCGTGAGGCGTGAACTCAAATCACAATGCCCCGCTCTATTCTCCTTTTGAATTGTCGTTCAGATTCGGAAGATAAGTTTAAGAACAAAGTCCAATTACATCATTCCTCCCTTCGACTGTGTTGCTAACCTCGCCTTTGAAGCACCACTACAAAAATGAGACAAACGTTCGGAACACAACATGGCAATAGAGCAATTGAAAAGAGGCCCGTTGTCCACGGCGCAGAGATACAACTATTCGTGCTTGATGGATGTCCGTGGTGCATCTACAAAAATTGAAGGTGCGATGGCGCGAGCCGTAAACCCTCATTTTTCTGCTCTATTCTGCCGATAACGTCTCGTTCAAATTCGATAGAAAAGTTGAATAACGAGACCCGATTACATTTCTTCAATCTTTAGCTGTGTTGATACTCGCTTTTTTTATTTATTTATTTATTTTTTTTTTGAAGTTGATGTCTGGTTCTTTTTTAATGATTTATGTGTAGACCATAAAAACTTCTTTGATCCAGCCCTAGATTTTTATAGAGCCCTTGATTAGGTGTCAAGCAAAAAATGTCGCATTGACTATGTGCAAATAAAGTAGATTTGTGTATGAGGGTCTCCTTGAGTGTAAGGGCAGAATTTTAAAACACACATAATGAATTATTGTGACAATTCATAGGATCAGGAGCGTCAGTCCATCGAGGAAAAATTATCCGTGCGGCAATTTGTGACCGGTTTGGTTAAACAATTGGATCGAGGTATTGACGAAAAACTCTGTAGAGGCCTGAAGAATAATTCGCCGGCAGTTTGGTTTATTTTCGTGCCAACGGAGGGCGTAACGTTGCATTATTTATTAGATTAAAATTT